AGCACAGAGTTTCACCAGCGCAGTCCTCTACTGCTGACTTACAGCCAGTGGGAGACTGTGTCCTCTGTTGTTTGTGTGTATGTTAATAATTCGCCATTTCATCCTCTTGTGTGCTTAAAATACGTGAAATTAAGAGAAGGAAATATCTATTATTTGTGATTAATTTCATTCTAAGATCCATTCATCGTGAAGTGTTATAAGTGTTATCGCTGTTCGGGAGAAGAGATTCGCTATTTCGCCATGGACGTCGGCTAGAGGAATTCGGGTAAGAATGGCCTAAATATTAACTATAGAACTGGGGCAGCTTTACGCACGGACATTTGACACTATTGAGTGTCGTGTCAGATACGAAGAACAAGGAATATAGTAATGAAATCGTATGAATTATTTGATGATGACGTCACCGCACGCCTATTGAGTTTTGTAATATTGAAGGACTTATTGCTACGTACCATTTCTGTTTATATTTATTATTATTATTACTGTCCTTTTTAATTCTTGTAGTCTCTGATAAACAATTCCAGTACAAAAAGAAACCTTCGATACACTATTATTCCATATTAGGTAGATCACGTAAACAATTTCAACAGAAATCTTTAAATCTTCTAAAATCTTATCAACTTTTACGCTTCTTAAAGTAATATGATTGTTAGATATGACACGGAATGAAATGATCTACGAAGATCCGCTTTGGGGCGACTGAGCCATTAAAGCGGTAATATTAATTTGATAAAATTATCATATCAAGGTCACATCTTATGACTGAGTATGAAGAGGGAGGACTAAATTATAGAGTATATGACTAATTTCCTTAAGCGTACTGAATTTTGAAAGAATATCTTATGTTGTGCGAGAGGGAGAGTAGGTGAGTAATATCCAATAGATTGTATTCAATGAAGACTACTGTTGTCTTTCATACACATATCATAGAGAAATTCCACCTGCGCAGGAATCTCTAACTGTGTAGATCAAAAAGTCGATTAGATTGAAAAAGAGAGAAAGAGAGAGAGAGAGAGAGAGAGAAAGAGAGAGAGAGAGAGAGAGAGAGAGAGAGAGAGAGAGAAGAGAGAGAGAGAGAGAGAGAGAGAGAGAGAGAGAGAGAGAGAGAGAGAGAGAGAGAGAGAGAGAGAGAGAGAAGAAAAAAGAAACGCGGCTGGTCAGCTGGCCGAAACTGGCGCTTAGTTGTTATCATCTCTGTAAGGGAGTGTGATTATTTAACTGAAGAGATACGCGGATTGACCAATAATTTGTTAAGTGTCCATACATAGAAACACACATACAATCACGCATATGTGTGCGTGTGCGTGTGCGCTTGCGTGTGTGTGTGTGTGTGTGTGTGCGCGTGTGCATGTGCGTGTGCCTTATATAGCCACATCTATACATATGCAGTTATTCATATATTTATAACCGAACTCGCACACACACACCTGTTGCATTTTCTTCACCTCAAAGCACACATTTACTCCTACTTCATGTCCCAAAGATTTAGATTGATTAACCATTACCATCCTTATCCTAAAAGCCTTAAGCAGAATAACAGTCTAAGTTATCAATATACTTTTGTTATGATTTCTATCGCAAGATGTTTATTATGTTGCTATTATTATCACACTATTATCATAACCATTCGGAACATTATATATTTTCATTATTCGTATGCTTATGACTTTCAGTTATCATTAGTATGGTCGCCATTACAATTACCAGGAAAAGACCACCATATTGCAGAATGACGTAAGGCCTTACAAGTAAATTCATTGTTGAAACCACCAGGTCCGGCATCTCGGCTGAAAATCCCGAAAGCTTGAATAGTTGAACACGTCAGTATAAAATATACATATATTAAGAACTAAATAAAAAGATAAACGTCAGAAGATAGATATATAAGAACTACTTATAATAAACGTCAGTGTAAAACATACCTATATAAAAAAAAAAAACACATCAATAATAATAATGATAATGATAATAAAAAACTAATCTGGTGTAAAAAAGGAAGAAACAAAATAAGGAATAAAACTTAACTCCGAGGTCCTACAAAATAGTTTTTTTAAAATGACTGAATAAAAATGTTCTCTGGATTACGTCCAATTCCTATGCAATATAATGTCATGAACATAACTTATTAATCTCCGTAATTACTGCTATCGTTGTTCACTACTTGATCATGACATCACAACCGATTATTTGCAACAGAGGACTGGACTAAACAAAGAAACATTGCTTTACTGACAGACCGTGTCTCTGTTATTTGAACGCCTGCATGTTTCCATCACCCTGATGATAAATATTTCAGTCAAATAGATATAATTAAGATTTAGAAGAGAAAGGATGAAATACAAATTTAACATATATAGAATGATAAAAAATGAAAATAAAAGTTGATCAAAATCTGTAAAATGTATTCCCTAACACATGAAATAGATTGTTAGAATTTTCTACCACCAAGTACTAAGGATGTTAAGAATATTAAAATGAATAACAATTAATATTAATGCTT